ATATTGTGAGATGTGATTAGATATGATTTTATCTCATACCTACTTTGTAGTATCATTCTAATCGTTATTTGAGAGATTAGAGTAAATGAATAATAACTTTGCCTTTTCTACTTAAGAGAGATTAGGGCATGTTAGAATATGATGGATTTTATTAATGGAGTACTGTTTAATGTATGTGTTTTTTAATTCTAAATAAGTCAATGAACCATCTAATACACAATAGGTTGTCAAGGGACTGGTACAAATTGGTTAATATATCAAGTGAAAGGGATATGCTATCCCGGAGTTGGTTTAGTTATCTAATTAGATCTGTCAAGTAAGTTATATTTCTTAGTTCATATAATTGTTATCCTCCGGCAATTTTTTGTTGAAATTTTAAATTCTCACCACAGAATTAGCGACCATGAAATATCTGTTCATTTAAATTCTCACCATGGAATTAGCTACTATAAAATATATGTTCCTTGAAATTATTGCCACATGATCTAGGGATTTTTTTTAGAACAAGGATGGAAACTTGGAGTTCCATGTCAGAAGCTTCCGTTTATCCACTTTGTGACTCTGCTCCTACCAAAGTTATGCAAGGAATAATATGATTTGACTCAACAAGCTCCATCAGTTGACTTTTCTAATTCTTTTCATCGAAATCATCATTGGCTGCTGCAAATTGATTATTGCACCTAATAAGATCCCATAACCCATATGCATTGTTTGGTTTCCCGTGGGATTGGGATGTCAATCGAGTACCATGTTTCCCCGGGACTGGGATTGGGATCGACATTGTAATCAAATTCTGTGTTCAGTTTGTTCAGGAGTGGGACATGAATGGGATTATAAACTTCATCTAATCCCCGAAATGGTAATAGGAAGTTCCACTATCCCCTCCAGTATTAGGAACATGAGACTTCCCATGAAGGGCATATTATGTGACTAGGATCTATATGATAAAATCCATGGTTCCATATTTTCTAATTTGTATCTGCATTCGGTATTCAGTAATTTGATCAATGTCCATATTTGTTAAGGAAAAAAGCATGAAAGTTCCTTCATAATTATATTATACCCTAATGACAAATGCCTAATTTGTCCTCACATAATTTACCTAACTTTGATTTTTTCTTTCCCCCCCCCCCCCCCTAAAAAAAATGTGAAGACCTATTCTATTGTACTTCAAGATTATTACACCTCCTGGCTCAAAATGTGCTTCTGCACGTACAATGTATTCATTTCTTTTCTTTGATTCTGGCACTTGGAATCGTCATGTCACTCTATTGGCATATAGAATCATCGGACCATGGTGAATTTCACTACCATAAAACTCTAAGCCACTGCTTCTGTACATAAACATTCTCAAGACAAATACTCTCAAGTAAAAATCTAAGTGACTTCTACTTGTAGCAAGTGGCGTAGCCAGAACTTGAAGCTTTGAGGGGCAAACTCAGTGGTGAAACCGTATGATGCAAAGGGTGCATGAATGCTCACACTGAAATTATCTTATGGATAGACTTATCCTATATATTATACTTCTTACCTAGCTTAATATTACCCTTAGTGTCAGGCTCTGAAGCACGGATTTTCCCCCGGAGGCCACGAATCCGTGTCCGGCTCGAATCGGACACGGATTCGTCACGACACGTGTCAGACACGGTCAATTTGTGTCCAACACGGGTCAACGATCAAATTAAGCTCGGACACGGTCAAAGGAGCTCGGACACGGCTCGGATTCGCCGAAGGCCGATTCATTCAGGTTGCGGGTTTGGTTGTTAAAATCTAACTCGAACCGTTCGATTAAAAAACTCATCTCTATTTTTCAAATCTCCCGTTCGATTCGATCCTCAGCTGACTCAAATGAAAGAAAATAAGAAAAACCCTAACCCTAACCCTAATCCTCTCTCTCAATCTCTCAGTTTCCAATCATCTTGAGGTACTTTTTGTTTACAAACTTCTTATTTTGTGATAGATTCATATTTTAGATTGTTAGTTGAATTTTATAATTTTTTCTATATATAATAATATTTTTTTAAAAAATCCTTGCCGTATCCCCGTATCCTATTTTTTTGGATTTTGTCATATCTCGTATCCGTGTCCGTGTCGTATCCGTGTCTTATATCTGTATCCGTGCATTATAGGTGTCAGGAGGTCAACTTCATTCTTGTTTCTTCTCTTACAAAGTAATAAAACAATCATATTAATAAAAAAATTATAGTCATAATTAATACAACCAACTCTCAAAAAAATTGATGTCATCAAAATTGAAGATGACATTTAGAACTACTTAGCATTTGAGTAAGTTGAGAAACTAATTGAAAATTCTTTAAGGAATGGGTCATAATATTCCACAAAAATAATTTTCCATTCAATTGCCGTAATAGCAAAGCACTAAAGTTTGCCATGGCCAGCCATTATCCCTAATAGAGCATGCTCCAATGTACCAATGTGAGCCTTGCATTGACTTTTTTTTTTTGGGCGGGGGGGGGGGGGGTGGGGAAAGAAATAATATAAAGGAAAAAATTTAAATAAATTTAATTTGAAAAAATTTTAATGGGATAAATAAAAATAAAAATTGATTTAATTTTGAAAATTTAAATGGGAGGGTTTGAGCCCAGTGGAACCTCCCCTGGCTCCGCCACTGCTTGAAGCAGTTCTAATAGCCACTGCTTGAAGCAGTTCTAATAGACTAACACAAAAAATCTATACTTATGAATATGCAATGTATAGGTGTGATCTGTTAGGTTTTTTTTTCAAGGTTCTCCAATATATGGATTTGATTTTTTCCTATTTCCAGTCCGCGAGATGCTCTAGTTCTCACTCATCTTTTCTTTTCCTTTTTCTTTCCACTTACGGTAGAAGGCTTCCTTTGTCCCCTTGTGAGATATCCAAATGATGACAACTAATGATGCTGAACTTGACATCATTGGCTTCGTCTCAAAATTTTAAACAACTTTGGCTACAATATTTATAAATGGCCTTGTTATAAGTTCATGCCCACAGGATTAATTTCCCAAAACAAGAATAAATTATCCAACATCAACTTGGTAAACTTAACTATGTATATTCTAAACACATTAAAATAACAATTCTCAAATAAGTACGTAGTGGTCAAAGCTAGGATTGTGCTCGGCACTAATTTTGTTGACAACGAATGATGCAAATCTTAACTTATCAATTTTCAGTTTTTGAATTTTTTTGCCAAACAGATGAATAAATACAATATTAGAGATTGAAGGGTGGTGAAGTAATTTTGGTTATGATATCAGTCCAAATGGTCATAATCCCCCTTTAAAAAAAATACTGATTTGGACTATTTTAAGTTAGTCTGAACAGTAGTCCATGTGAAAACAAATGTTAAACTAGACTATTATAGCCCCAGGATGACACAGTCCCGGGACGGTAGCTAGTGGATAACAGTACATCCTAGCCCGAGGATAAACAAACAAACATGGCTTAAAGTTGCTACATGCAATTAACACTAACGTCTCGTTTGGTACGTGGGAATAGACTCAAATGAGAAAAGGAATGGAATGGAATTAATGTGAGAATGGAATAGTCATTCTCATTCTCACATTTGGATGTAATTTATATAATGAAGTGGGAATGAACGTATTTTAAAATTGTATATTTTATTGATTCACATTTAAGTGGGAATGCTCATTCCCTATCATTTCATTGGGAATGCTCATTCCCACATAAAGTGGGAATTGATGAGAAGTGGGAATCCTATCATTTCATTGGGAATGCTCATTCCCACATAAAGTGGGAATTGATGAGAAGTGGGAATGAGCATTCCAACTTAAAAAAAAGGGTGTGTTTGATAGGGAGGAATGAGAAGTGAGAATGACCATTCCATTCCACCCCATTCCCGCGTACCAAACGAGACCTAAATATGTCTTGATGGTTAGATAGTTTGTTATGGCAGTTACTTCTTGCTGGACGGAACTTAGTGTATTTAACTTCTAGAAAAAGTTATGGTAGTTTTGGAGATACTAGCCCTACAAAACTAAACTACATGTTAAGCGAAGTGTTCAATCCCCTTTCAGTGAGAATGTTTTAGAAAAGGATAGATACTCATAAATGAAAACTATTTCAGATATTTTGCTGTTAAAGCTATCGGTAGCAGGGCGTTGAAGGCCTATATAAGGACCTATGTGAAGGTTTTTTATCCGAAGTCATTAAATATTCTCATCCTTCTTATTGCTGCAGGTAATGATCCTGGGGGAAAATTGGATATCTTGACCATGTCTATTTTGAGATTTAGGAATAGTACTTGGTATGCAAAAGAAACTGATTGACATACTCTAACTTCATAGTTAGCTACATGATATGATTATTTTGCCCATCAAGAATTTGAGTAGAGAATGCATATGCCCATGCTTCTATTTGTTTGCCTATCTTTCATTTATTGAGATTCTGAGATCATTTTGACATTGAGACTCTAGATGCTGCGCAGTATATGAACTTAACAATACTAAGATTAATTATCTATTAATCTTTAATTTAAATTGACTTAATTAGAATTAGTTTAGTCGTTTTGAAGACTTAGTTAATTTAACAGAATATTCCAATTTTATTTTCTGAATTT